CAATGGCCCTTGCACTCAAGCTAATTAGAGTTTATTTTGTAGAAACAACCTTACTACATCTACAACATCCATCTTTAGTACTACACCAGTTGATACTTCGCCATCGAGCCCCTCGCTTACAAATACTGATACCAAATATGCTTCGTCGGTCAGTATTTGCACGCCGGCGCCCATTTGCAAGCCCAAATCGCCGCCGTCTGAAGGCGAAATCGCTGATAGTGAGACATCGTCAACTGCATCGAATAAGAGCTTTGACTCGCACAGTATAGTGTCGACGAGTAAAGCCTCTTGCTTAAGCAACGAGAAATGCAATAGCCCAAGTGTCCTTAAGGAGGAATTAAAGCGTCTCAAGTTTTTTGAGCTTTCGCTCAAGGAGCAGATCAAGGATTTGAGCCTGCAACGTGACGGTTTGGTCATGGAACTGCAACAGTTGCAGGAAGCACGTCCCGTTCTCGAGAAGGCATATGCGGTAAAGATAATGGCGATTATTGTCGATTACAATCTTGTTATCAGAGTTCTATATTTTTACCTAGCGAACTACACATCCGACACTTCAGCAGCGACTTAATCAACTCGAGTTGCGCAATCGTCATTTGCAGAATGTAGTTAAACAGCAGCAAAAATATACCGAGTCCCTGATGCAGCGTAAGCGTAGCCTAATTTATCAAGGTTTGAGTTATGTTTAATCTTTGATCATTTGTATTTCGTAGAATCGTGGCGTCAGCATCAAGTGGATCTCAACGAATTGCATAGCCGCATCGAAGCACAAGCCGTTTTAATTGCCGATCAGACACAGCGTCTGCAGAACGCCGATATTCTTGTGAAGGATTTGTATGTGGAGAACTCGCATCTGACTGCCACAGTGCAGCGCCTGGAGCAGCAAAGGGCGCGAGTCAATCTCATTCACCAACAGCAGCAGAAACAACAAATTGGCGCTCCGCTGAGCTCTGGAATTCCTTAAAAATTATGCAGCAAAGAAGCAGAAAACTACAACGGAAGCACATCGAAGTTATACGTGTATATTAATCAATATACTCGGCACTATTGCTGCAGTGATATTGTTCAAAATATGAAATACATATATTTATTTACATGCTATTTACTTGTTTTATGTGTGTATGTCCGTATATAACTAACAATGTTCTCTATATGAATAAGTTTTCAACTTAAGAGCACCGATAGAAGCATCTATGTACTGAATAGAAAAATTCTCTGTACTGACTTAAAGATCAGTAATCAACTAATCGAACTTTATATTTTGGTATATACCAATGTTGACCTTATAAACTAACACAAAAAAGAAAACGAAAAAAAAAAAGACACAAATTAATAGAGTTAACACTAAAAATAGATAACAGTATTTTAAATCCATTGTACATGTTGAGGAAACGAAAGACCAAGTTTATCATGCGCATATAGGTATTGTTGATTTTATTGGTAATGAAGGAGTAAGAAAAGTCAAATGCAACTGAAAAGACCTGTAAATCTATTAACTTACAAATATGTATTTCGCACATTAAGTTAGCAAATAATCTTTAATTGTTTTTGTCAAATATTTATGTATTAACATAGCGAACAAATTAATTTATCAAAGATCGATTTAATACCTAGAGCTCGTAATATTATGTTATGGTCTGTGCTTGTTAATGTACGAACAAAATATTAAATTACTTTTTAAAAGTATAAAAATATATTAAACTAAAATACCGATTTACAAAGGAAAACTACAATTATATGAAATCTCTTCTTGTATTTACAAAAAAACAAAAAACATGTTACTCGATATACTACAGGAGCACTTACCGGAAACCGTTGACTACCAAGAAGTATGTATGCACAATAACTGCATACTATCTCCGCCGATATAAGATGAATGATTACAAATATAGGTTTTATTATTCACCATAATTGACAATAATCGTCTTCTGCAACCTCTTTATCAGATCCCATAATCCCATAATTATTTGCTCTGTGATTCGCATTGCCAGGTGTTTAAGACTCTGTCCTTTAGCCCTTTTAGCCAGTTTCATTGCAAATTTCTTAATTTGTATAAAAGTTTTAATTGATTATTTTAACAAAACATGTAAATTGTGCTTTATATACATATTATTATATATGGAAATCTTCATTGAAACTTGTACGGCTATAAAGCGTCCTATTCGCGGCCTCATTCTTCTTGCATAAGCGGCAGTGGCCACGTTTATAGACTGCCATTCCAGCTAAAATAAGAGGTATTGCCAATAGAATGGCAATGATAATGCCAATCCAGACAAGACTGCTACCCTGTGTTGCTGACTCAAAGTCCCCATTTACAATTTTTAGGACCTCCACGCCTTTTAGCTCCTCTGGGTATTCACACTTAACATTCTTAGCTAAAAGTGGCGTGGTACTGTTGACTCTTGGAATTAAGTACTTGATCATATATTCGTTGGAGGTATGGCAGTCCCATGGGTTGAAGCGTAGATCCAGCACGCTAAGCTTATCCCAGCGAACTATAAATTCTCTTGGCAGCGTTGTTAGATTACAGTTATTTAGGTATAGCTGAAATATATCATAAATAAACAGATGTCAGAAATAAACATAAATAATAGGATCTCCTTTTACCTTATCAAGCGGAGGGTAGTCTAAGAAGTCTCCTCCAGTAACATTCTTTGACAGAGCATGTAAATCGAGTTCTGTTAACATTTTGTTGTCACTCAGTATCAATTCTGTTAGATCTGTAAAAAATATAAGAAAAGTTATAGATGCATATCATTTAGCAAGCTATCGGCTTAAATATACTTACTTTGTAGTTCGCTGAAAGCACCAGGTCCAATTTTGTATATATCTTGCATATATGCCATTCTCAAATATTTCAAAGAAGTCATTGCTGGGAAAACACTAAAAACAAAAATTGGAATATGTCCCGAATTGTATTAAATTTTAAGTTTATTTTCCTTACTTTTCTCCCTCCAAGTTTCCAATAGGATTCTCATCTAACACAAGTCGCTTTAAGTTCTTGGAGAACGATAACGCTTTTGGCACTTGTTTAAACAAGTTTCCTGATAGTATCAGAGTATCAAGATCTCGGGGTCCATGAAGAATGGTGTCGGGCAAGGTCGAAAGTTCCATAAATGACATATCCAAAACCTGAATGTTTTAATTAATTAATCAATATATTTAAAGTGAATTAGCAATAATTAAGTACTTACCTTCAATGAAGACAATCCAGCAACTGCAGTTTCCGTCAGTCTATCGATCACTTGAAAAGTATTTGAAGACAAACTAAGCTCTTCAAGGTATGGGAGATGTTCAAACAAATCATCATTCAAAGAATGTATGAGGTTGTATCCCAAGTTAAGTGATTTTAAGTTTTTCAGAGGCTCAAAATCCTGTTGGGAATATGGACCTTTGAATACATCAGGTACTAAAGCTTTTGAAGTTAATTTGTTATTGGACAAATCAAGTTTGGTAAGCTCCGTTAAATTTTGAAAGGCTCCCAATGTAATGGAAGCTATTTGATTATAACCCAAATACAGATTCTTCACTCCATACGTTGGCAAGGCAGGAATAGTTGTCAAATTGTTGTGCTCCATTTTGATGGATTCGAAAACAATTGTCTGATTTTTAAGGCTCTTCCATTCTTCGTCCGTAAACCAGTCAGTCAATTTGTTGGTGCAATCAATTAGACTGTTTTCTACATCGCATACGCACTTTGTGCATATCGCGCTTGTGTTTTGTTTAGCGCTTGGCTGAAATAGAGAAATAGATAGCACATGAATATTGGTAATTGTAAATAGTTTCAGTTTACTATATTACAATAGTCAACTGAAGCTTCGGCTTAGTGACGGCATATTAAATTCGAAATAGGTGTTTCAATTTGTAATCGAATAATTCCCATCGAACTGAAATTAATCGATGATTCAAATGTACATAAATGCGTTCCACATAAAGTCATAAATCCAAATCTGAACACAAACGGACAGAGACCAAAAGATAACATACAATTCCAAAGTTTTTCATTCTCTTTTCATAGTAACCCAAATGATTCAGTTGATTCGTGATATGAGTCATTCGGGGGAAATAGTTATTAGGTGAATAAAATGAATATGTATGTATATTTATTAAATATATGTCAATTTTATTAAAAAATATGTGTTTATGTATGTAGACATACATACGCTTATACAAATCGTCTTAAAGAAACATACATATGTATGTAAATTGTGTATATATATTCGTATGTATGTATGCATGTGTCTTTGATACTACTCACCTCTGTTTTTGTTTCTTCACTTTTAACTGCGGAGTCTGTGATGCCTAGTGGCATTAGCGCACAGATTGTTGTTAAGATACAAATGGTAGCTCCAGCTATATTCATTCTAAATTGTATTCTTGACTCCGTTTATTTGCTAAATTATATGCGCACCGAGAAAAAACTAACTAACAAGTAAAGTTTTCTTTTCGAGGCTTATTCCCTGTTAACTGTTATCTAATCTTATCAGTCTTTGGGCGTAAATGGCATAATCAGACAGTATCAGCAGAAAGCAATGACGCGTTTGGACGTTAAATAATTAATTTCGAATACTTTGAGTATTTAAATTTATGTATATACATATGTATTTATGTAAGTACACCAAATTGGTTGCACTCAAAACATGCTTTAAAAGTCTGATAAAAATGTTTAGGTAACTGCAGCTTCATTGGAAAGGTCAATAAAGTAAAGACAGTATTTTGACATATTAAAGTCATAATTTCAAGTTTAGTTACATTTAATAAACTACAGTTTATAGTCACATATATTTATTTCTTTAAACTTAGGAAAATACGAACTAAACTTTTCGAAATTGAAATATTTATTGAATCAATGCAAAAGAAATTTACAGTTTTGCTATTATATTTGAATATCTCTGTAGATTGTATTCTGCTTCGGGGTGAATTGCATGTATTTTAGTGACGTACCAATAACTATCGGCTAGGTACCGTACGAAAATGATACACATCACTGAAAGGTTGATGTAAATGAGTAAGCGGCTCGATAAAACCGAAGGCAACCCTTGAAATAGAATGTTGAATATTATTATTCTGTTTTAATTGTCTGCAGTTAATAATTTTAAAACTATACACATAAAATGAGCGACGAATCAGCTGAAAATATAATCTGGACCATAAAAAATGGAGAACTAGATGCCGTTCAAACAGCGTTTAGCAATGATGTGAGTAATAATACATGACTAGCTTTTTTCGGCTAATTAATATTATTTGCAGACTCAGAAAGTTAATACAGAGATCAAAGGAAGATATCCAATACATTACGCGGCTGATTTCGGCCAGCTGAATGTACTCCAGTTCTTGGTTAAGTTGGGAGCTGATGTAAACGTAAGCTGGTCTTAACTCATTGTATTAAATGTATACGTGCATACATACGTGAAGATTGAGATGTATTCACACATACACATGTACTTACTTTCGTATCTACACAACCACTTTTAAGCTGCTATGTACATATGTACATGTATGCATATATTATTATTTACATATACATATGTATATACGTACATTGATTTGAGTTTAGTGGTGAAACTTTATCTACAAGTATTAAAAATGTATATCCTGAATATCAAAATGACAGAAAACTTAAGCAAAAGTGAACAACTCGAGGGTTGACACAGACTGAACTAGAGTAAACTTTTTCAACGAAGAAAAGGTCTGCATTGCACTATGGGAAAAAATCCCATTTTTTTTTGGCATTAATTCCAAATAATGAGCTAGAGATATGAAATTTTTTGTGGATGCTCTTCAGACTTTAATTTTTTTTCGAATTTTTTTGGTTTTTTCAATTTGACCCCTATTTTTTTT